ATTTGTGGAGAAACATTTTGTTTGCATGCAAAGGTATGGTGTACTAATATCAAGGTAATTTGTCAGAATTTGCAAACTCATTTTGGAGAAAAAATAAATTTTGGAATAGTGATTGATGGAAGAATGTGTGGTTAAAAAATAATGAAAATTTTTGAGTTTATATGTAGTATTATTTTATTGATAGATTGTGTGGTTAAAACGAAGAGAAAAAAATGAAAATAAGAAAAAATGGGTGTCAAACAGGGGATTAATCAATTTTTCTAGTCAAGTGTTAGAATCCGTCTGCTACCGATTTTCCATGGCTTTTCAGCAGAAACAGGACCGTTAGTGGGGCCCGACTGAGAAAGTGGCGGTCAAGAATTGCGGCCCAACGGTTAGAATTTGACTGAAAATCTTGCCAAAAATGTTCGTCAGACAGGTTTTTAGTCCTACACGTTCCTTTTTCAGACAAACGTAGACGATAGAGGCATAATGTTCTTTTCATGACACGTGGGTACGTGATTGGCTCCTCTTTAATCTTTATGGCAGGCACGGCATTTAGCAGACTGCAATAATTTTTGCGTGTAAGATTCCCGAAATTCAAATTCCATATTTATTTGAATTGAAGTATTTATGATATCTCTTTGCTTCTGGTACTGAAAATCCGTCAACTATTTACAATTTTATTTTATTTATTTTACATTTTGGAATAGTATTTTAATGAAGATTGTGTTGTTAAAAAATAACGAAAAGTTTTGTGTTTGCATGTAATATTATTTTATTAAATAATATGTAGTTGAAAATAGAAAGAGAAAAATATATTTTGAAAATATATTTTATCAAACAAGGGCTTAATCGCACCTTCTTCAGGAAAAATAAGTTTTTGAATAGTGATTTTTTTTAGAATGTGTGGTAAAAAATAAGGAAAAATTTTCGATTTACGTGTAATATTATTTTATAGTGAACGTATGGTTGAAAATGAGTTTTGATAAAATGAGCTTACGAAAAACGAGAGCCAAACATAGACTTCAAATAACTCCTTATGTGCTTCAAGGCATTATGCTTTAGGGGAGCCTGAAACTTAGGATGTGTTTGACGGATATTAATGAGGAAAGAATGTATTTTAAATAGTAATATAATGAGAAATATGTATTTAAAAATTAAGGAAAAGTTATTAATATGATGTAAAATATTATTTTATTGAAGAATGTGTGGTTGAAAATGAATTTTGAAAGAATGTATTTTGAAAAAATGTGTATCAAAAGTGGCTTAATGTTGAATTATTTCATTATACCAAAACGTCACATTCTAAAGCACAATAATCGAGGCCATGGCACGTTTGATCAATGAACTAGTCTCCCAAGTTTGAGATGATGGACTTGTCTGAAGGCTTTGTCATGACATATATTGTAAAATCGGTGTCTTAAAAAGTGTAAAACATAGCGAGATGCCAAATTTCGATTTAGGTGAGTATAAGCATAAAAAATATTTTCTTATTTAGTATTATTTTAAATTTTTAAATCAATCTAAAAATTATTTCATAATTAAAGAAAAGAGTGTATAAAAGAGTGTAAAAGAACGAAAAGAAAATAAAAAAGCAAGAAA